AGACTTCACCAAGAGTCAAGACAAGGCAACACTTGAGGTCCCAGAGAAGGGAACTCCACCAGTGCCCTCTGGGAAGTTATCAAAGTGCAGCTCTCATTAACACCCTCATCAACACACTCATACTCTTCAGAACACAAGGCAGATCAATACCTAAGTCAGGAACCTGTACATTGAGGTGTCACAAGTTTACTCCGTATTTCCTGCTGAAGCAGGACTCCAAATTGTCCAGGTACCTTCCAGAAGTGTAAGTTTTATTGCTGAGCACACTGTGTTTCAGGAGTTCCCTTGGAAGGTACATACAATGTTGTATATTTTGTCTTTTTTGTTTTCTTCTCCGCCGTGATTTTATTTTCTTTCTTATCTTCTTCTGTAGATTCAGATCTGGATTCAGCTGTTAACCTACAGGCAAAGCAACCATTCTAAATACACATTTAGTTTATACAAAACAGGACAAAAGTAAGAGTTTTAGGCAGAGTCAAGAAGCCAACTGGCATAGAAGACCATCCATAGGCAAAGACAGAGTAAGCAGGGCTTAAGAAAATGAGACTGAAACAAAGCATTTTTATATCAGTCCTAATCACATTTCATCACTTAAAGTCTCCCCCACACACCTCATCTGCTGAAATGTTGGGTAAAAAAGGTTACTGTGTTTTCTGGTTGGGATCAGCCTTCAAAAACACCAGTGACTGTGTCATGCACCCAAAGGAGATCAAATCCCCCAAAACACAATTCCAAGTCCCAGCAACATAATACAAATATGCTGAAGTCAAGCTTCCTTCTTCTACACCACTAAAAAGACTACCCTTAGAGCAATATACTAGTTTCCACCTAGTTCTGTACTACTATTGCCTTTATTTTAATGCCTGAATATCTTAGGTTGCTGCAGGAAAATTTATTTTCAGGCTCTAAATTGCATCATTTGCCCACTGACATGTTTTAATGTTGTTGTGAATGTAAATGGGGGCAAACTGCCTCAATGCTGGTAAAGAGATAAGTAATTCTGAAATCAAAACATTGTGTTCAGATGTCTAAATCTCATTTTTAACTTAATTAACATGCAAACATGCCAATAGAACAATTGATAAATACTGGTATTTTATCCAACCAAATCACCCACAGCCAGTTGACTGTTCCACATAATTTTTGTTGTGAAAATAATCATGGAAAATGAAGTTCCAAATTAAACATGGCTTTATATACCAACACAAATCTATGTTCCCTCATCACCACATACATTAAAGCAATTCTCTAGTGACCTTGTGGATTTCTAGTGGTCTCAAGAGCAACCACAGCCCCTGATAGCTGATTTCAATGATGGTTTTCCAAACAAAAACAGCTGCTACCCAGTTGTTGGAGATTTATTTGCAATACAGACCTGCAGCTCAACATGAAGACTATGAAAAGAGCTGTAACAAAACAGTTTGGGGAAATTTAGCTACAGATTCAAACTAAAATCAAGCTATTATGCATTGCAAGCAATATTATTCCCTAAAAGCACTGTCTCACACCAATGAGAAATAGGCTTTGCTGTGCACCTGCCCTGGGTCAGTGTTTGCTCCACCAGGTCATTCTCATGGCTGACAACCTTCTGTTTGTGGTCACCTTCCCCCAGGCTGCCCCATATTTTAAATTAGTCAAAAGTTGCAGCAAGACAGAACACATTTTTTTCCTCCCTATGTAATTCCCAGTAATGATTCTGTGGTTTGCACTTCACCTGCAGTGCAGTCTTTGCCTCCCAGAGAGCAGGAACTAGTGATGGGCAGCTTCCATCCATCTGGTCCTGTGGCAGATTCCCTTCCTTTGTCCCTCCACTCTTCTGCTTTAAAACAACCTCTGCCCAAGGGCACCAAACCCACTACTCTCTAATGGCCAAAATTGCCAACCAGGATTGCCTAAAAAAAATACAGAGAGGACTCAAACAAACCAAAAGACCAAATAAAACCAAATTCATTTAAGTTACGTTCCAAAGCAGCACCACAGGATTTATACAAAATGCTGCCCTTTCACAGCATTAGGCAATTCTGTCAGTGGATGATGTAACAACTCTGGCAACCAAATTCACTCTGTGCCTCTTGTGAGGAGGATATGGAAGCCAAGAATGAAGCTGAGCCTGGGAGGAAGGGCTGGGCCATAGGGGGGAGGAAGTTTTCTTTCTCTCTCATTGTCCCACTGCTTTTAATTGGCCAGTTAACCTTCCCCAGGTCTGGTTTGCCCAGGATCACTTGATCCCTGTCATCTTTATCTCTCCCCATAAGCTTTTTCCATCTAATGTTCTCCTTTGGCCTGTGGAAGAGAGGGAGTGAAAGCAGCTGGGTGGGAGTGTGGGACCCACCACAGCCCTCAGCCCATCCCTTGGAGCACCACAATGGATCACCAAGTGTCAGCACAGGGAAATGGATGGATCAGAAAGAACAGGCACCAGTTAAACACTTCCACCTTTAAAAAGGCCAAGCTATGACATGATTCTATCAAGCTGTGCCTGGGCAGACTCCAAAACTGAGTTATAACTGGAGCTCTACCCATTTAAGGCAGATGAACTGTCTCATCAGGTGAAGCTCTACTTGCCTAAAACCCCAAAGAGATTATTAGTATCCAGATCTCCTGCTGGGCCAAATGGCTGCAGGCATGTGAAGTAGATTTGGTGTATGTAATCCAACTAAATAATTTAAGGGAGCAAATAGGCTCTTAGGCACACAAGCTCTTCTTTAGATCAAACTAAAGCAAACAACTTCAAATCTAAATGCAAACTAAGTTGTGCAGCAAGGGCTGGAATTTGCTATTTCAGTTTCAGAAGGGAAGAAAAGCATTTCAATACAGAAATGTATCTTTTTATTGACCAGATGGCCCAACAAAAGATACCACTGCACACAGCCTTTGCAGTGCCTGAATTTCAGTAGCAACTGATAATTAATAATAATCACTTGAATATTTAAATCTTTAGTCTCAACACTCTCATACCACAACCAGATCAGTCCCATCACCTAATAAGTTACTCCAATGTGTACTTTTGATTCTGTAAGGACACAGACATGTTGTGCAGATCCATGTGCTGACAGGTTGATGTACCTGTACCTTGCTAAATGACCTTAGCAAGAAAGTGTCTTCAAACAAGGGAGTTTGTCTCTCACACAAGTACACACTGATCACTCCTGACCACTTCACCACCTCCTGAGCCCAGGTGACAAAGCTTTCCAAACTCCACTGTCCAGAAATGAGGTTTGCAGCCCTTTCCCAGTTACAGCAGTTCTTTTCAGTGCCACATTTCATGCACCAATAATGACAGAGCTAAACTAATTACTGCACAGAAACTATTCCAGTCACAAAACCAACCCCCAGAGGCCACGACAGCCTTTTCAGCTGGAGCATCATATTTTATTTAACACAAGTTCAAACACTGACAATTATTTAGCATTATTTTTACCATCCACCATTATTTTTTCCCCCCAAAGTCTCCATTTTCAGGTCCACACTCAAGTTGCCAATAGATTTTGTGCCTAGGGTTTGGCCATATCCATCTCAGAACAGTCCAGAGATTCCTTTAGTCTTTAGAAATCCAACCTCTCAAATACTGAGACTTGATCATGACTTCCTATTTCATAATAAACCATAGCAGATCAGGGTTAAGTAAACCCTCAATGTCATATTAACAGCACCATGACTTGGGGATTTAGTAGTTCATTGACACCATCAGAAACAAACAGAGCTTCCTGCCTGGATTTGCCCTTACCAGGCTCATACCATCATTGAAAACACCTTATATGGAGTTTTGTGGCACTTTTTTAATTTTGTTGGGGGTTTTTATTTTTTAAAAGTTATTGATTTATGTTTTTTTCCTTATTTGAACCAACAAGCAACAGGTGCAAGACTAGAAACCTCCCTCTGAGCTACGGCTTCATCTTCCTCTTCCACTTTTTCTATGCACTCTGCTTTCAAACATCAACTTCATAAATAATTTCCACTCACACCCTCTCCATGATTATTCAGATAATCACCCCCTCTCCAGTAAGTTCAGCCCTTCAGTTCACATAAACTGTTTCCAACAACTTCCTGTCAGCAGACACTGTACCTTCCTTTCCAAAAGGAATATGAGCAAATAAGTGAAATGTTTCCTACCAGGTTCCATGCTACCTGTTCCTGTATGTGTAGAGACACTGTCAAAACACACCACCATCACTCAGTTATCCCATCTTCCCTCTCCCCTTTCACCACCCACATCTGACCTCCCTGATCTTCCCTCCTCACTAACAGTCCCTGCACATTTTGACACAGCTGATCCAACAGCTGCTCCTGCCATATTTTTTCCAGGCTGTTTCAGAAGATTGCAACCTTTGGCTACTTTAAGTCTGTTAATCACACCCATGCAACCTTGACTAATTGATCTAAGAGTCAAAGGATCAATTCAATTACTTCTGAATGCCATTAGCTCTGGCTACACTGTACAGGTTTCCATGTGTTAGGCCTTCCTCCATCTTCAGAGCTGCTGTCATTTTAGACTCACCAAGTTATTGCTTCTAGCAAACATCAGCAAGTTGTAAGCTCAAAGCATCTAGACAAGCCCAGGCTTTTTTTCTCCCCCCCAAACAAACGTGTTTACAAAGATTACAAACAGAATACAAAAAGCATTCACTGAAAAAGTAGAAAATAGAAATCAGCATTCCTTTAACCAAGATAAAAAAGTTGGAGATAATTATTGTTCTCAGTTACTTTACCATCTAGCAAAAAGTAACTTAAATTCTCAGTTCAGGGCAAAAATTTGATGTTAATTTGGCAGTTGTCTTTCCAGCTATCATGCAACCAGATTATGCAAGTCATTTGTCTGATAACACAAGCAGCTGATTAGTTCTCTGTGATCTTGTACGATGCGAGTTTTGTTAACACCACTCAGGTTAAGAATGACTTTAAATAATTTTTAGGCTTTTAGCTAAATCTGAAAGTTGATGAGGGCTGAAATTAGGTATCAAACTGGAGCATGACACCTATTTTCTTTATTACCTGTGTGACAGGTGTGTGGCAGTTTTGAAGGGACCAAGAAAACAAGAAGTCTCTGAGGTTGGAGCAAACCAAGCGAGCTGTCACGCTACCTGTCTTCAAGTAATGGCAAGGTTATTTTAGTTACAGTTTCAAGAGTCTTTTTTATTAGTCACCACTTTAGTCCTCCTAAAAGGTATTGAGAGGTTCAGTGTAGGCAGCTGGAGCTGAGGAATGACACGGCATGCAACACTGAGGAAATAGATAAAGAATTGGATAGCAAAGTTCATGCAGCGAAAGAAAAGAGATGCAGGTCTGTGCTGATTGCCTTGGGCAGAGACAGAAGCTGACACTGACCTGAGGGCAGCTGAAGTCAAGGAATTATTTCCACTTCTGCTGTTTGAAGAAAAGGCCTCGTGGTTGTCTTCTTGAAATTTAACTCTCTTCTTTTCCCTTTCAGGTTCCATTGTGTTCCTCTTTGCTTGCAGAGCTGTGTGGAATGGGGATGCTGGGAAAGCCTGTCTTAGTGGAGAAGCACCACTTTGCTCCAAGTACTTGGCAGTTATCTTTTTTCCTTCCTTACTTGGCAACTGAGTGAGAGCACCTTCTCTTACTGGAGTACTTTTGCTGTCCAAGTATTCACAGGTAGTGTCCACTGGAATCCTCTCCCTCTTCTTTTTAACTTTAGAGCCTCTAGGTAATTCTAAGGAAAAAAGGAATATGCTTTTTGTACAGAAGCAAAGCTGGAGTTAATTTGTCCACCAACATGTTCATAATAGAACTAAAAAAACATTTCACATGACTAAAGACTATGCAATAATGCTTAATAGACAACTTAGATCCCTTAAAGAATGTCCCTTCATATAGTCTAATAAGCCCAACAGAAGCCAGCTTGAAAAAAGAGACATCATCCACTCTACCTTTTCACCAAGACCTTTAATTAGATGCTCTGAACTACAGGCTGCTGAGGTAAGCTTTCACAACTAGGATTTGGAAGTCAAATCCTCTGGGTATGGAAAAGTACAAAACCAACTTACCCCATGCATAAAATCCCAGTGGTTTGGTTTGGGAGGGACCTTAAAGCTCATCTGGTTCCACTCCCTGCCATGGGCAGGGACACCTTCTACTATCCCAGGTTGCTCTCAGCCCTGTGCAACCTGGCCTTGAACACTTTCAGGGATGGGGCAGCCACAGCTTCTCTAGGCAACCTGTGCCAGGGTCTCACCACCCTCCCAGGGAAGAATTTCTTCCCAACATCTGATCTAAACCTGCCCTTTGTCAGCTTAAACAGAATCATCTTCCTCCACAGTCTCCAGCTCCCTTGTTTTGCACACACTCAGCTATCAGCTGTTTTTCAGGAGGGCCTCTGTTGTCAAAATTTAAGCCATATTAACTTGAGCTACTAAACAGTTTCTCCTCTAAATGCTTTGCACTTTACTACAAAGCTCCTGCCAGCTGCATTCAGAAAACTGAGGCTTCTCATCAACACAAAGATGTTATGAAAAGCACCTCCTGAGCATCTGTTCCCACCCACTTGACTGTGGTTGTCCACCTGTACTCCATAAAGCCTCTGAACACTCATCTGCACTCTTTAGTCTTCTGAAGTCACTCTTAGGACACATTGAAGGGAGGTCCTTGAGCAAAGTGGGGCTTTTCTACTTCAGTTCAGCAGGTTTAGGACCTGGTTATTATCAACAAGGCAGCCATGTAAAGTTTAGTCTACGCCTGGAACTAAAGCAATGTCTTCCTGTCTGATGTCAGCCCATTTGTGAAGGTGGAGATGATCAGCTATTTACTTCTTCCCCAAGTGGAAAAGTTGTATTTACCTTCAGGTTCATATTTCATTTTCAGCTCATCCAGCATAACTCTCAAGCTCATATTCTCGCTCTGACAAGTCTGCAACTGCCTCTCACTGGTAAAGAGTTTCCTTTCAAATTCCAGGACCCTTTGGCTCTCATACAGAGCTTTCATTTTTTGCAAGGAGAGTTCATTTTTCAATGTTTCAGTTTCCTTGCTGGGGTGGGAAGAAAATTATAAAGTCAGACTTGGTTTGCTTTGTTTGTTTTTTTTTTTTAAGTAAAGCAGCAGGTGTAAAATCAACTCAGTACTCAGCAACTTCATGGCAAACTTGTATTTATACACTTGGATCTGAGGGCTTAAAAACAGTCAGAGGCCAAACACTATGAACTTGCTAATTAATGAATATGGAATTCACTAGTCAAAGAACACAACTAAATAGTCCAATATAGCATTTTAAGTGTTATTATCTGTCTCCTTTGATAAGGGAAATAAATATATACAGCCTATAGACTAAGAATCTCATACAGTTGCCTTAGAGATTAAGCTTTATTTATTAAAGTTCTCGACTGTCTTGTATCTAGGAGTGGAAGAAAGCAACAAGATACAATGGTTCTGCTGCTATCTTTTAAAACAGTAAACTGAATTCCAAACAAAACAAAAATTAGAAAATACAGCAAGGATCATGTCTGTATATACAGTCAGTGCATACAAACAGTAACAAAAAAGGGAGAATAAAAGCAAGTACCTACAAGATAACCCTGCTACAACCAACTTCTAAGGCTCAGACTGTAAGTACTTACTTGGAGTTGTCAAGTTTAATTTTCAGTAAATCTGCATAGTACCCATCCTCTGAGTCGCCTCCTTTGGAGCTACTCCCAGGTTTGGATTGTTCCATATTCTCATATAAAGTCTGATAAATAAAGAAATGTCAGGTTGTCAAGCAGTGACCTTTCAGAAGCACATCAGCTTGGTCCTTAAGTGACATTTTCCATGCATTTCTATGGAGAAGACTCATCATACAGGGATTTAAACACAGAAGATAAATGAGGAGGTGCTCAGAGCAACTGAGTTGTTACAAATGTCAAATAGCACTAAAACTGACAGTTCTCTCTCATTCACTGAAAAAAAATAAAAAAGCAAGTTATCTCAACTGCAGAAGGCTTTCAAATAGCACTGCAGAACTTGCTTTACACTTGAAAATACAGGATATTCAGTTAATACACATGGGGTTTTCTTCAGCATTTATTTCTAGGCTTCAGCAGCTGGACCCCAAAGGAATACAAGCCATGCTAATCTACAATTAATCTCAAAATCAACTACATATTTCAGATGAGGCAGTTAGTTGATAATAAAGATGCCATAAATGCAGCAACATGTGACACTGGGGTTTTTGTTTTGTGGTTTTTTTTCTGAAGCAGCAGCAATCAGACTAAATAGTGTGTCCTACAGACCTCCCAGTCCTCTGTCAGTCACTGACTGCAGGTACTTTGGGTTGGTTATTGGAATCAAGTATTTGGTTTCCTGACACCACTATTTATGGCCTAGAGACAGAAATAGAGATCAAACTTATAAATGACAAAACTGGTAAAACAATCAGGCTTCCTCAATTGCTTGCTAAAATGGGTTAAGCTTGGCTTTACACCACTTGGGTTAAATACAGAATAGAGGAGGCTATCCTGGAAAGCATAATCCTACTGCACAAGCTAATACACCCCAGTTTACACTCCAAAGCTGTGATAAGAAAGGGCCAAACGAGTCCAGAAGTGCAAGAATTAAAAGAGGCTACAGTTTGTCACTCTCTGTAAACACATAAACATCAGTAACATTACACTAGTGACCCAGAGGTCCTCATGTAGTTCTCACTTGTCATAATACTGGCTAGATAGTACCAAGTTGCATAAGAGGACTGAAAAAAATTGCTTTACAAGGATGATTAAACAATTCGGGTTTGTTACAGAAGAGCAGGGTTCAACTGTAAAGTTAAGACACATTAAGAAAATAAATATCCAGGAAATTCAATAGAGCTGAGACACTAAAAAGTGCCAAAGGCTAAGTACACACAGTAAAAGTGTGAAATGGCTACACCTTCCAAGGGAAAAGTCAGATGTCACAGCTCAGTGAACTTTGACCAAGTAATAGGATTTGAATGCTACAAGTAACTAAGATATGAAGCTGCTACACATAGGAACCCATAAAAAATTGTTTCTTCAACCCAGGTGTTGAATTTTCTGCTTCTCTGAATTTGAGTAGTATATGTTCCCCAACTGTAAAACACAACTTGGGTCAAATAAAGGTATGAGTAGCTTTGAGATCCCTTTTCAAACCAGAGCATGGACTTCAGATAGTTTTCATAATTCTTGTTCTCATGTTTTAGCTTCCATTTAGGATTTTCTACTTAGTTACAAACCACATACCTTATATTTTTCTAGCTGCCTCACTTTCATCAGCAGATCTTCTATTTCCCCATTCTTTTGCTCTAACATGGCCTGTAAACGTTCCAGCTGATCAAATTCTGCCTGAGAGCCTTTCATCTGCAGCAGTGTAGCCATTTGCAGCTGGAAAAAAAGAGGAAAAAAAAATTAATCTTTACAACAAGTACTAGGATTAGTGACTGAAAGTCTCAGCCTCTTATCCAGAACTGTTCAGGTACTCAAGCCTTGTAATTCTAATCCTGAATATAGAAGTGCACTGGATGCTTAAACTCAGCCCTCATAACAATCTTAGTAATTTTCACCATAGACTGACACTGAAAGTCCTCAGGAGAGCTGAAAACTTCCTGAACAGCTCAGTCCTGAGTGTCACACCCTCCTCTGTACTGACTAAAGAACCTACAAACGCACTGTCAAGGACACACAACATTCCAAATTCAAACCATAAACACCCAGTCAGCGAGAACCCAACTACAGTCCAGGCTTATTTGTCAGAGCTAAAATGAATCTTGAAAACTTCTCACTTGGGAAAACCCGTAAATTTCAAACCCTTTTTTCCCCCCACTTCAGATTTTTGAGATATAACACCACCATGTTTGCCTTCTGCAATATTAACCCAAGAATTTCAGCTTTTTCTGCTCCTCCAATGGAACATATCCTTTCAAGCACAAGAACCTCCTCTGTCATTATAAAGGAGAAGTTTATCACAATTTTGCACTTAGAGGAAAGTTTTCTGAGAGTGTTAATATATTAATGTCATGTTTACAAGTGTCTTAACACATTGAGTTACAAGGGATACATCAGACATTTAAACAACTGGGGAAACAATATGAAAAACAAGACATTAAAGACTTCACAGGGTGTTGGTGAACACTGAGGCATTTTTATTAGTATAGTCAGTATGGATAAGGTAACACTGTGGGACACTGGGAGAAATCACAGGCAGAGGATCAAGGGAAAAAATTAGGCTAAAGATTGAGGGAGAAAGTGAGAGGAGAGCATTTACCCTATGCAATCTCCTGTATCAGCTACAGGGTATTGACGCTTCTGTACACAAACTGGAGCTCCAGAAAGATTAAATTATCTCACAGCTTCTACAGAACATAAGGGAGGCAAAATTTTACCCCTCCCCAACACTGGCTGACTAAAACTATCCTTACAGTTCCCAGTCACAGACACCTCATCTTTCCCCTTTGACTCAAAAGGCCTCTTGCCATCAGAATTACAAGTTGCAGTTGATCTACATAAAAACAAAGAACAGGGACATTAAGAAACTGGAAGGGTACTCTGGGCTGTGGTAGAACTTTCACAGGAGTGCTGTGGACATCCTGTTCAGGGCTCAGATCTTCAGGAGTCACCAGCAAGTACCACACAGAGACATTCTGACAACTAAAGCTGCAACCACAGTTACCTCCACTGCAGGAATCAGTTGTGAGTGGGGAGATAAGCACAGCCTGAGCTTTAACACACAGCAGCACAGTGCAGAGAGGAGGCTAACAGGGATCTAGGATGGCAGCTCAAGCAGAACAGCTGTCCTAACAAACTACTTATTTCCAATGCTGATATCAGAAGAAATGTTATGAGTACAAATTGAAATTCCAAATAAAAACATTAAGCAGTAGAACAGGGATACCAATTTACCTCCATTTTTGGTGAAAGTCTTCAGTATTAGGCATGTTTCTTATACACTGAACCTGGATGACTGACCTACCCTCGTATTACAAGGAGAAAATTTCTGAACAAACTGATCCTACCCAATGACTTTGCTCACTCAGATCTTTGCTGTATCTGTGGGTTTTTTGCCTTCTCCTTTAAGGATGTTGTTTCAACTATTTTCAACCTACTCCACAAAAGCTGAGGAACCCAAACCTGTACTTTCAGCACAACTTATGATCATCACTCTCGATTTTTAAGCACTTTCCTCAAACTTCATGATCAAGTATTTGATCAAAATGAAAGGATCCACTTTAGCATTGGGAAAAAAAATCAGAAGACCAACATGAAAACAGTTGGCAGCTCTGCCATTATCTTGTAAGTCAGCTTCTGTCAACTAGTTCTCAACATTATCCAACAGGCTATAACCATCTTATAACAGTGTAGTCTAAATGAAATAGGTATAGCAAAATTTATGACCTATTCTTGCACCAAAAAAAGGGAAAAGCAGAGAAAAAAAGAGCAAAACCAAGAAAGCAACCCTGAGGGCAAAAAAACCCAGAAACCAAAACCCACAGTGTGATGGGAGTAAAAGCCTGTCCTTCTCTTGACATTCATTCCTGACAATGACAATCAATGCACAAATATATGATTCATGTAGTACAAGAATTAGACAAGAAAAAACAATTATCAAGACAAACTGAATGGTAGTCTGACTGACAGGAGTTGTGTTTTACTTTTATCCATCAAACAACTACTGCCAAAGGAAGCAAACATGGTGCCTTCAGTGCAAAGTGGAGGTCTAGGATAAAGCAGGAGCAAAACAAAAATGCTGATGTACCGTAGAAGTCAAACAGCACAACATCATCTCACTTGTTTTTATTCCCATTTCCCTCCCCCCAGACCACTGTTTAAAGGTAACAAATCCCCCAGGCTGTGCACTGGAGCAGTGCCCAAGGACACCTGGAGTATTACAGTAATGGTCATACCTTCATTCTCTGCAACTGTTCTCTAGTGAATGCATGCTGTTTTTGGAGGGACTGATATTTTACTTTCACACTGATCAGCTGCCGTTCCATTTCTGCCCTACGGTCCTCCACCTACAGAATATTGTCAACAGTTATTACTGAGAAGTTATAACACTTGTTCTCACTTGGGGGAAGAGTTTTACATGGACATGTTGCCTAGCAATGAGTCTTCAGTCTGCAAATACTGCTTTTGCAGCAACAGTACTTGAAAATACAGGCTATTGATAATCCCCCTGTAATAGAAGTGCTATAGCTGCTGAAGTGCAACAGGTTTTTCTTTTGTTCTTTTGATATCAAAATAAAGTAACATTTCATATGCTTCAGTGTTCCTGCAGAATAGTTTTGTTCATTGGCATCAGAACAGTTTAAAAGAATATGAACTGTGCACCAAAATCCCTCCCTATGCATTTAAGAGCAGCTCAACTCTTACTGCAAAACCAATTCAAAAACCCTCCCAAATGCTCAAACATCCTGATATTTTCAGCATGTTTGTAAGAGAGTTTTTATCAGCATCTTTTAGTATTTCATATACCATCCTGTACATTAAAGAAAGCTTTACCAGCTGAACAAAACTACTTAGAGTCAAGATCTGCACACAGAATAGTCATAAGCCCTCAGTCACAACTTTTGACTTGATAGCCAGGTAACTTTAAGTGAGTTCATTAATTTTAGTAGCTTCTTAACTTTGGAGAGCATAAAAATGATTTTCCATATGTCAGATCAACACTGAAGTCATATTTGAGGAACAGAGATATGTGCCGGCCAGATCAGGTACAAACACTCTAATATTTTCAATACAATATAAGAAACAAAACTTAAGTATTTTCTTCTCAGGCACCTATGGTATAATTGTACCTCAGCAAAGAGAGAATTGCCTTTACTTGTAGGGTCCAAAGATTGTTGCACTGCACGATCCAGCTGAACCTGAAGCTCCTGATTGGCTTCACGAGCTTTCTAGATTAAAGCAGAGAGGGTATTAATCATTCAAGCATCTGATGCTCTGCATACATGAATTTAATCAGATAGTTTTAACTCTAATTTCCTATGCTTTAGCACAGATTGTATTGTACTGCAGTACTTTTATGTACATACAGTACATAACACAAGATAATTTCATTTCACCAAAAGGCTTAATATTCCACTGTTCTTCATGACAGGAACAGAACTAAAAACCTTTGAGGGTTTGCTGTTTGTTGACTGGATTAATGGTATGGAGATCACAGGCCTTGCTGTGTTAGTCAGTCACAAAGCCTCTACCCACCAACACATGACTTTCCAAGAAACTTGAAAAAAACCCTAGAATTGTGGCAGTGAGCTGTGGGAAGGTCACTAAGAGGCAGAACAGTGTTGTGCAGCTTTCCTTACACAGCCTGCCCCAAAACAACCCCAAGAGAGAGCATTTACCAACAGGCAACACCAAACACCACCAGCTAATATAATTCTCTTTCCTCTCCCTCCTCAGAACTCCTCAACACTCCAATTTCACCAAAAAGCTGGCACCACAACTTGTGCTATCTGGTGTTTATCTACCAAATTCATTTAAAATTAAGAGAATACCTCTAGTGCATTACAGTAAGAAACAACTTCTTTTTCCCTCTCTTCCTTTTCTGCGTGCAGTCGCTCCAGCTGGTTCTGTAAGTTACTGTTCATGAGTTCTAGTTGTTCTTTGCTGTACTGAAGCTCATTCAGCTTCTCTTCAACATTGGCCTAAACAAAAAAAGTATGAAACAAATAGTATTTAAAACAACTGGAAGAAAAGCAAGCCCAAGTGAGCCAGACATTTGTCAGTAGTAATTACTTTTAATACAAAATATTATATGGAAGAATAGAAGGTATTAAAGCCTAGCTGTCATTTTTTGCTGTGCACATTGTCTGAATATAAGTCAATCCACACAACACATCTAATAATGAAATAATTTGATCTTCAATTAGCCTACATTCCTAATGGTTCAGTGCTACTCACACACCTTCACACTTTCTAGTTCAGTGAGCTCTATCTGAAGGTTGAGCATTTCTGAGGACATGGTCTCATGGACACGTTCGGACATCATGTGCAGTTCCTCTGATTTGGCAGCAATTATTTCCTTCTGATGCTCCACTTTGTGTCTCAGTTGTTTCTCTGACAGTCGGGTTTCATCAAGTTCTGCTTTCAGGTTCTCCAACTTAAAAAACAGTTGACAAGCAAGTAGTATCATTTTATAGTAAATTCTTGAAAAGCACAATACTTCTGACTATTTCAATTACAGAAAATGTCTTAGAAACACAACTTAAGAATAAACCTTTAAAGATAATTAAATGTGAAATGTAATCTAATTAACAAGTAACAGTGCAGATGTTTGTTAAAAACCAACCAAACTCCTACATGTTGTAACTATTTATTATTTTACTAGTTAAGAGTGCAATTATAAGTTAAATTTATAGTATCTAAAATGCTACTAACAACCTTTTAGCTACATATTAGTTGTCAAACCTTGTTTTTAAGGTCATTGATTTCTTGTCCAAAGGCTCTGGCCAGCTGTTCCTTCTGTGTTTCCAGTTGCATGTTCTGCTGCTGCTTAAGGGAATCACACTCAAAATGCAAGCTTTCCAACATCCGATTCTTGAGTTCGATTTCTCTCTGAAGAGTGTATTTCTCTTGTTCAAATTTCTGAAAGAAATAGCACACTAATAAATCTAAGTGTAATAGTACATTGTTCCCTAAGCATTTATGAAAAAGTACAGACTCAGAACCAAGATATTTGTAGCTCATTCAATATTTTGTTGAAGTTCTAATTAGGGAATACCCATGTTTAAAAAAAAAGAACAACTGCTCTAAAATTATGAGTTGTTATTGTGCAATATTCTCTTCTTCATAGAACCGTCTATGTCTTTGCACACAACATGAAACGTGTGGGCATCTTTTCTGCAAGTGTCACAAAGAAATATAGCAAGAGTTTACATGCACTTTCTACCCCCATGGAACCCAATTATGTTAAAAGTTGTTACAGTCCATCAAGTGTTTCCCCCACTGCAGAACAGCTGAGTGCAATGGTTTTTAAAGACAGCTAAATTGTCTGCTGTTTTGGAATAAATCCCATCAACCCTTTCAGACTAAAGAATGATTTTTTAAACAGCTCCCCTCTCTGCCTGATTGCATGTTTGTTAATTATAAAAGGCAGCTTCATTTTACTCTTCCATTCAGCCAGCAATTAAGGAGAAGGAAAAAAATAAAAAGAGGAGAGTGTTGAAAGCAGAAATGGTAATAACAAAGCCAAACCAGTCTAAAGACGCAAGATATTTTCTTTCTTTTCAAAATAAATTAACTCTTAAAACACAAACCAGAATTAAAAAAAGGAACAGATCAAAACTAAAAGCTGTCAGGTATCAGACTGACCTCTGTGGCCCAGACACAGCTTATCAAAGACAGGCTTAGCTCTCAAACACAACAGGAGAAGAGCTTTAACTCAAAGATAAAGACAGTGCACAGGACAGACTGGGGAGTGCACTTCTGGCTACACCCCAGAATGATAAAATTCAAGCAGATTATGCCTACACACTTGCACAGAAGAGCACAGAGATGTTTCTGAATGAAAGTTCTGAAAGAACTTGCTTGTGTTCACAGGAACTGCTTTGGCTCTCAGATTCCAAAGAGGAGAGCCAGAGACTCAAAACAATCTGTTGGATAACCACAGTTCCCACACAAGATGTTATTCTACTGAGTGAAAGCACAATTCCTTCCCTCTGCCCTTGGAATCTGAGTTACTAATTGATCTGGTTCACACAAGCTCTTGGCTCCAGCTTCTGACACAGGATTACAACCTGTGGGTGCAGCCTGACAGCACAGGGTTGTCAGCAGGAAAGGATGATCCTGCCCTGCCTTCCTTATCACTTGTGCTTTCAGCTGCCTCTCACACAAAGCTTGCCAATGGTAAACTAACCAAAATAAGCAATTCTGCTCTTTCAGAACAGCAGAGTGCTACAACCATCCAGCTGGTATGAAAAAAACACAGAGAAACCAAAAATCACACACAATTTATCTCTACCCCAAGAGAAGAGATGGATGCACACCCAGGAAGAGGAATGGTCTATATGAAACATGGGCTGGTCGAAAACAAACTTGAAAATTAAAGTCTCTATGAAAAGTGGAAGAGATTTTTCCTGATTGTAATTTTCTTGAACAATTAGTAAGAAGAAAACAGGTCAACTAAATAATACCTCTGTATTTCAGCACTGTACTACTTTTTTTCTGAGCTGCAAAGAAATGTCCTAATAAGTTCAGGACGCCCGGGTATTTGAAAAATGTGAAAGTTTCACTACAGAAGAAATCAATTTTCCAGTCTTGCTGCTAGCATTCTTCTCACAGCTTTAAATGATGTAAAGCTTATAGGGAGAGCACACATGAATGAATTGCTGAACAGAGGCAAAACACATGCTCTGAAACAAATTTACTTTAGCATTTAGCATTCATTTTACATTAAAGGCAATTAGTCCTACATGGTACAGAACACTTGATGCATAATTAGCTATGAAACCCTGTCCCAGTTAGATACAATTATGCTCAATGTCTTAAAGCAGAGAAAAAAAAGCCCTCTATACAAGTTCTTAGAGGTTTAGTCAAATTAATGTAGACTCCAAAAGCCATTTAAAACACCTGTGCCTGCAGAAAATAGTTAAAATAAAACAAAGCTGAGTTTTGAACAGTCATCACCTCAGTTTTCTCAGTCAGTTCACGGCGTGTTTGATCCAGCTGATTTTGGACTTCACTTTGGGACTCCAGCAAATGCAAACCATATTCTGCTGCCTTTCTTCTCTCATTCTCTGCCTCCTTGAGTTGCTGTTTAAGACTTAAAATGGTGTCTGCTTCCATTTTCCTTCCTTCTGTCACTTCAACACTGCAAAGACAAAATTGTTAAAAAATACCTTGCAGGAAGTTACAGTAAGTTACTGGATTTCCTTTCTTCACCAGGATAAAAGGATATATTTTTTGCATTAAGACAAAAAAAAAAAAAAAGGCAACCAAAAACAAGACAGTTCACAAACAGACCTATGAACAGTAAAATAATAGCTATTTCTTAATGAATTTGGTTAATGTCTTACTCTTTATTGCATCTTAACTAATAGCATGCAGCAAAAGCACTCCTGCATACCTGGTTTCCTCACCCCCCAGAACCAGAATTAATCCGGTACAGAGCTCTCTTGCCAAGGACAAGAGTGGGCCAGGGAATAATCTTATAAAAACACTTATGCACATGGCTGGCAATATTTTCTTTGTATCACAAATCAAGCCCCACCAAGCATAGGATCCCTTGTGTACACAAATAACACTTAAGATTCACGTGGGCAGCTGTATTAGCAGGCCAGTTTACTCCTAATAACATTAGGTGGGATATAGACACAGATAAAGGCAGTTCAAGGGAAGAGGCAAAAATAGAAACCCTGTTAAAATGTCTGGAATTTTAACACAGCATTTATTTAAGTGCTTGACGGAACCTTTCATTACTGTTTATTACTTTAAAATTTTGCTGCAGGCAACCTCTTTGTTAACAACCATCTCCTTGGCACATGTTTCAGAAAGTTCATCCATTTGTCACTTCAGAGTATAAAAGACACAAGGTGAATTTTGCAAAAAGTTAATCAAAGTAAATCCAATAAACCAAATATTTAAAAAAAAATAAAAATAAGTCAAATTAACACCATAAGTTGGTGTGACTGCTTGCTCCCAAATCTACTAAATCAGCATGTTGCCAAAAAATCCTATTAAGAGAGAAAATGCTAAGCAACTTGGGCTTCTGAACAACATATGCCAAGAGTTTCCTCAGAAAGTAGGAGGTACCAATGACAGACAAACACACAAAAAAAAAATCTGCAGTTGATTTTTCAAAGCCAGGGTTCATAGTTGTTATATAAATTCAGGATTAAATTCTTTACTGAAGATCTAACTCTTCGTTTTCACATAAGCAATTTATTTGTTGCCATTTCTTATTGGCACATTTATTATTCTTCGCTCTTTTTTTTGGCTAATTTTTATTCAACATGGAAAACTCCTTGTGGAGTTACCCAGCTCCCACTAAAAGAAAAAAATAGTGGAGGAATAGTCTGAGGCACGAGATAGAAGCTATTAAATTCTGGTTTTTGCATTTTCTTCTCACTTCTTATTGCTATCCAGGTTTAACATATACCAAGAGATTTTATCCAGCCATGCTCTGAAACTTCACTTTTTCACATCTAACCACTGCAATGCCTGAAATCCTAATTTTACACACTTATGCTTGTGAAAGACAGGAATTTTGCAAACCTGTAACTAAGAATCAACAATATTACGCTCCTGCAAGGACAGATAGACCGTGTACAATTTAAAAATTAAATGTTTAAGGTAGGATGTTGCAATACAAGCACATAGGCAACCACTCCTGGCATGTATTTCCATTAAAGAGAATTAATGAATCCTTGCTCACTTACAGAAATAGAATTTTTAAAATAGCTTTATTTTCTGATCAGACAGCAGCATAGAGGCAACAGAGCTATTTGATTGCTCTTAGCTTACTAAATTAAATGAATAACATGTTTAACTCACCTTCAGAATTCCACTGTAGTCTTTCTTGACTTTATTCTAGTACTCCACCTTTAAAAGAAAATAAAAGCAACAGTTGTGTAGTGCAGCTGAGTCTAAACTGCCACCACAGCACAGCCCTTCAGAGCAGTCCCTGGTAAGAACATGCCTGACCCTGGGGCTGCCTCATGAACATGCAGATCACAACCTAAAACCCCATATAAATGCAAATCTTATTCAAATCTCACTTAGGCAGCTGGCAGACAGTTTAGAACCAGCCAGATCAGACAATGCTGCCAAAGGAGGGATGGTCTGCAATTGGCCTGTGGGGCAAGTAAACAGGCTACACCCTGGTCACCTGCTTCTGGAACACACTGAATTTTTAAGGGTTGCTCAGGGATTTTTGTCTCACTCCATCCTAATTCTTCAGTCTCTTTGGTATTTCCCCTCCAGTTTCACGTACAAGACCTTTGAGCTCTTAATAAATAAGTTACTGCATAATACAAAACAAAAAAATCTTGTTATTTTTTATTTTATTTTATAGTTGAAGTATGGAGGAAAAGAGAAATAGCTTTCCTATTCACACGTTCTTTGTTTACTATTAGGGAAGAAAGCAAGTGTGCCTTTTGGAGCACAGACACTCTCAACATTCTACTGTCAATTCCAGATGCAGCTAATCTAATTCCAAGTAGTTTTGTTCATAAAGCTGTACTGTTGTATAGGAAATAATTGCCTGCAATTTAATATTGTACATGAGGCTAAGTAAATTGCCCTGAAAACGTTTTAAGAGTATTTAAACAGGTAGCAAGGTGAGCAGGCAGGAGGCAAAAAACAGGCAGAATAAATGGAGAGTGATTTTTAAGAGTTGCAAGAGAGTTCCTCACTTTTGGCTAATTAACACATTTTATGACAGATTCTGGGCTGAAGGCTGCACACCTCGATTATTCAACCATTCAAGTACTCATTAATAAAAACAATAAGGTAGGAGATAAAGAGGCACTTTTCTGGCAGGCAGACTTTCTTCTCCCGCTCTCTAACAGTTCTGGTTAATCTGCTATTCCCAAGGGCCACGTGGAACAGCTGCCTGTGTTCTGATCCTTCCAGGAGCACCTGCACAGTTTTCTGAGCACTGACATAATTAGCAGGGTGGTTTCTCTCCCTTATCCCAGCTGATTCCCCTGACAATTCCACTGTTACTCACACAAGTCCATCCTTCACCTACCACACTGCACA